CTGAGAAGTCAGGACGGGGCAGGGGCGAGCCAGGAACCCGGGGGACAGAGGGAAGGGGGCTGCCACCCTGAGAGGCAGCAACCAACGTCAGGAGAAGAGCTTGTCCCAACAATGGGCCAGTACCGTGCTCTGTCAACTTTCACCCAAATCACAATAAACTGTTCAAAAATAAAAAAAGAAATTCAGAGAAAAACACTGTTTTAATTTGACTTGTTAATTTAACTATGAACTACCTTAACTACAGCGAAACCTGTGAGAGCCGGAACTCAGTGGGGTTGCCTCGTGTTTTCTGGGTCTCACAAGTTTTCCGCCTCTGAGGGTGCCGTCTGACCACTTTTCTTTCGCTCTCTCGGGGCGGGAAATATTTGGGTCTTCCTTATCTGACAGGTTTCCACCCGGCACAGTCTCCGGTTTTCACAGGTTTTGCAGTATTAACTTAGCAAGCACCAAAAATACTGCAATCACTCCTGCCAACATACTAAATGCAAGCACAACTGTTGAACATGCCTCTTTATTTTTAAAAAGCTTCGATGCCCAACTTGTGCAGCTCAATGCTTTTGACACATGGAAAACTGAGCTCACAAACACGCATCAATGCACAGGGAAGAATACGGCATTAACCAGCTCATGAAAGATGAAAGATACCTGATGTCATTATTATACGGCATTAACAAGTTCATGGACGATGAAAGACACCTGATGGCCACGTTATTAAAGTAGAAATATCTTTGAATATCAAAGTATGTTCCCTGATGCCATTCGGATAGTGTTGTAAACTACAGAAACGGTGTTGCTTTTTAAGTTTCCAACAGATGGGCCCAAAGTTCAGTGAGAATCTTTCTAAGGATGAAGTTTTCAACATACGAAATACCTAAACGTTTTCACCAAGCATTAGACGCCTCTGAAATGCAGGCATTTTCTTCTTAACAGTTTAAAGTATCAGTTTCGTCCTGAAGAAACAACTTAGGGCCTGTTTTTTCCAAGGTGTCTGCTAGGTAGCCTGTCGGGGACAGCCCCCTGTCACCACGAAAAAGGGCCGCCCAGCTGGAATTCTCCAAGTCTGTCTTGTAAAATGAAAACCTGTATTCACCTTTGAGTTCTGCAACTCTTTTAAATACACTGACAAGAGAACCTCTGTCCGAGACATCTTCCCAGTCGCTCCCCATCTCAATGCAAAGCATCATGGTGTTTGCCAGGTGCCATCGAGTCACTGCCAACTCAAAGTGGCCCCGTGAACAACAGACTGGGACCCGGCCCAGCCCGGCCCTCCTCACAGTCAGAGCCAGGTTGCAAAGCATCCTAGTGTCTTCTTGTTAAAAGTATTTCGGAAAGTCACCAAGGAATACACTGCTGACAGAAAAAGCGGTGACGCTGAGTAACTCCCAGGGCTGCTCTGGCCTCCAAGTGACACCATTCCCTCACTGTGACCACAGGGGACGCCTCACAGTCAGCCAGGTGTTAACACCAAAGCTCAACCCTCACCTGTTTTGGATACAAAACAAGCACCGACGTCTGATCTTATTCTCATGCAATTTGACTAACATCTCACCTCACTCTGCAATCCACTGGCCTAGTGAAAAACGGTCACTGGGTGGCCCCAAAGGTTGACAGTTGGAATTGTTAAAAAAAAAAAAAAAAATTCACAAGTCAACCCTCACTGGCATTTGGACGTGGGGCTCATTGTGAGCAGGTATTCTAGACGTAGAGAGGGAGACCATTTTGATTCCAGAAAAGAGCAAAGGCTTCAAGAAGCTAAATACAATGATGCTTACAAAGAGAAGGGGCGGGAGAAACAGGGAAGCTCAACCATTGGCTGATCTCAACATGACTGACTGACCCCTGCCCCGCCCCCGGTACTGAGCTCCACTGCTGTCAGGTCACAAGTTGGTCTCTGGCCCTCCACCAGCCAGACCTTTTGAAATTCAAATTGGGTCAGCAGGCTTCCAAAGGGAAAGAAAGGATTTGCAACTCTATGAAAGAAAAGCCACTGGCACATTCATTTTGGTCAGGAATTTCTTTAAAGTGAGAATTTGGTTCTGTGGGTAAGAGAATCCCCAAATCAAAGCAAGGTAAGTGCTATCAATGTCTCTCTTTGACAGAACCAGATTGAGTAGCACCACGGGAGAAAGCCCGAGAGCTGCTTCCCTAAAGACTGACAGCCTTGGAGACCCTGTGGGGCAGTTCCACTCTGTCCTCTAGGGGCGCTGTGAGTTGGAATCGATGGCACCAACAACCATTGTTTGCTCAGCTGCCCTTTGTTGTTGAGTTGGCTCTGACTCCTGATGGTCTTATACACAACAGAACAGAAATACTACCTGGTCCCGGACCATCTTCATGATCACTGGTATGCTGACAGCCTAAGAAACCCTCCGGGGCAGTTCCACTTTGTCACACGTGGGCACTGTGAGTTGGAATCCCCTTGACAGCAATGAGTTTGTTCTCGGTGTGATCTAGTGCAGGGGCACAAAGCTTTACAATCTATGTTAGGTCTTGGGGGTATTACAGTTGTAGCTTACAGAATAATCATAAAAATTACCCAGAGAGGTACTTCAATAAGTGCTTAGTGAACTGAATTATATTATTCCAGTGATAACTGTGGGAGCAAAACTAAGTTACTTACGTATATAGTACATTCTGATCGCGTAAATAAGACAATAACCCCAAACTGTTAGGTTGGAGTATGTTAAAACACAGCCGTGTTGTATTAAAAAAAACCCACTGGTTCAGAATGACTTGTTTCCCGGGGTTTACAGATTACTGTGAATTCCACAGTCAATTGCATTTTTTCTCCCCCAGAATGAAAGGTATTTGAAAATCAAAAGCATATTTAAGAATTCTATGGTTCAGTCTCCTAGTCACGTTTAGTGTTTTAATTATGAAAACTATGAGAGCCTTCAGTACTTTATTCAGTTGTTTAAAATGCCTTTCAACTTTAAGAGTCAAAGGATATTTATCATGTTCAAAGGACCTATCACAGGATGCAACCTGCTGCAAAAGACCTCCTGAAGGTGCTAAAAAGCAAAGATGTCACTTCAAAGACTAAGGTGCGCCTGACCCAAGCCATGGTATCTGCAATCATCTCATGTGCATGTGATAGCTGGACAATGAATGAGGAAGAGTGCAGAAGAACTGATGCATTTGAATTAATGGTGCCGGCGAAGAATCTCCTGCCAGGAGAACAAACCTGTCTTGGAATGAGGGCAGCCAGAGTGCTCCTTGGAAGGGAGGATGGACAGATTTCATCTCGAGCACTTTGGGCATATTATCAGGAGGGACCCAGCCCTCATCGCTGTGCTCAGTGAAGTAGAAGGTCCACAAACAAGAGGAGGGCCCTCAGCGACATGGACTGACACAGTGGCCCCAACAACGGGCTCCAACCCAACAAGGACGGGGGACGGCGCAGGGCCAGGTGAGGTTTCCTTCTGTTGTACTTAGGGTCGCTCTGCGCTGGAGCCAAGTCGATGGCACCCACAACAGAAGCAGCATCCCCAACTTCTTGCTCAACACCCTTATTAGTAGCAGCGGCAGCAGGCTGCAGCCTATTCACCGGGTTGAACTTGAAGTCCACGGCGGCTTCAACCCACCCAGAGGTGCCTGAGAAGACAGGTCTGGCGATCGGCTCCTGAAGGGCCACAGCCACGGCCAGTCCTCTGGGGTTGGCAAAGCCCCTGAAAACCACCTGGGCGGCCATGAGTCAGAACCCCCTCGATGGCAACTGACAACAACCTAACTACAAGGGAACGGTGCGCCTCACTATAGAGACCCGTTCCACGCCGTTTCTACGACTATTCCATTTCAGAAACTGTGAGAGGCAGAGGAGACATGACTTACGGCCCCACAAATCTGACACTGCCCAAGAAGAATGGCAAAGACCGTGGAAGGAAAGATCCCGGTGGGCTGGAAGGAACGGGACCGCTGGCACTGAGCACGGGGCAGGCACGGAGTCGGAGAGCTGGGAAGGGGAAGGCCTTCGGAGCAGGGGAAAACACTGTCTCTTGTTCTCTTCATAAAGACGCCTGAGTCAAACAACTATAAGCCACATCCAAATCAAACAATGTGGGGCCACATTCACTTAGCGATGCATTATTTAGTAAGCTGGTCATCAATCCACACAGGTACATGGCAGGGGTACTAACTACCCTTCAGTGTATAAAACTGCCCTACTAACCACTGGCACGGGATCTGTACGGAGAAGGGAAGGAGGAGAAGAGATGGGAGTAAAGAGAGAAGGTCTGGGGGCATAAGATGCCAATTGCCCCTCTTCATCCTCCGGTCCTTCCTCTCGCATGGCACCTTTCCCTGGTACACTCTATACCCACCGGGTCTCACTTTATCTCAGCAAGGCGACGCAAGTTTGATTTGAAAGGAAATCCACTGTAGTCACTTGCTGTCCACCAGAGGGCTCCCCTATTTCTTCTGTAGACAGATCACCACAAATCACATTCATAAAGCACAGAAGATGTCCTGAAAATATTCAAACTGTTACCAAACTCAAAATAGCTGCCTTTGCTATAATTTCTACATTAAGAACTTTCTAAGATCCAGGGCTTTCCTTGAAATGTTTTATTAACTGTTTCAAAAGCCCAAAGTGCTTTCTCATTATTCCCACACTGCCTCCCCCCGTCTTAGGCAGGGCTGTCAGTTCTAAGACCCTGCAAAGTCTAATTTTAGTCCAAAGCTTTAAATAGGAGCTCAAGTGCTGTGAGTGGTACCTTTATAGCTACAGGAACGAATTTCTTTTTAACTCTCAGTACGTGGCAATCCTGAACAACAGGACAGTTACCTTATATACCCAGACTGAGGCCTAATGGCGTCATCGTCATCGTCATTAGGGGCCCTTGAGCTGATTTTAACTTGTACAACAGAATGAAACACTGCCCAGCCGTGTGTCAGCCTCACAATCTTTGTGATGTGTGAGCCCGTCGTTGCAGCCACTATATCAGTCCATCTCGCTGAGGGCCTTGCCCTTTTTTTCTGACCCTCCCCTTTACCAAGCACAACGCCCTTTCTCCAGGGACCGAGCTCTTCTGACAACACAACCAAAGTTGCTGAGACAAAGTCTAGCCATTCTCGCTTCCAAAGAGCTGTCCGGCTGCACTTCCTCCAGGACAGATCTGGCAGTCCATGGTGTTCTCAGTATTCTTCGCCAACACCACGAAAAAGGGCATCAGTTCTTCGGTCTCCCTTATTCACTGTCCAGCTTTCACATGCGTATGAGACGACTGAAAATACCCCGGCTTGGGTCAGGCGCACCTTAGTCTTCAAACTGACATCTTTGCTCTTGAACACTTTAAAGAGCTCTTTTGTGCACATCTGCCCAGTACAGTATGTTGATTTCCTGACTGCTGCTTCCGTGGGTGTTGATCGTGGATGCATGTAAAACGAAATTACTACCACAAGGAGCAAATATTTTCTTGCAGAAAATCTATAGTCATTAACATAACTCATGCTACAATCATAAACAATGAACATTACCCCATTAGGAACTATGATGCGGCTGAGAGTTTTAAAAAAAAAAAAAACAAGGAAATGAATCATTTGAAGATAATGTATTATGATGCTACTCTGTTCAGCTGTTTCCAGGTTTAGTTCACAAATAAACGACACAGAGATATTAGTTAATCTTAGTTCAAACTCAATTATTCTCAGCGAAAGAAACATATAGAATTTTATGTAAGAATATCGATTGTATTTCTAGGACATATTTTTACTGAAGGTTAGTTGGAAAAGTACCAACTGTAAGTTAATTCTCTCAAAGCCAGCAGGGCCCCTCCCCTTCCAAAAGGATGGGCTTCTACTTTGGGGTTATAAAAAACAGAAGGCTCCTTATGGTAAACAAAAACTTACTAATGTTCAGAAATAAATTTTAAAGGTAATTATCGTTACAAAACAAAACCCGAAGCTGACACACACACATACACACACAAATCGCTTTTAAAGTTAATCACAATCAGAATGATGAGAGGACTCTACCGAAAGCCTCAACTCATGCAGCAGTTACTACGGCTCAAAGATGAAGATCTCTAATGAAAACTTGCCAGGAGCTACAACTTCCCCATCCCACCAGCCCTCCCATGGGACCCCTCCCCTACAACCGTGGAGCACCATCAAAACATAAAAATGGGACAAGGTTGCTTCCTAAAGTGCACACATTGCCTATCCCGGCTGAAATAACCCTTAACCTTTTATATCATCTTGCAAAAAAGGAATATATTCAGACTTGCAAGTTTCCTGGCTTGTTATACTGCCTGCTCCTAATCAATTTGGAGCTAACCTGCCAGAAAATGTGACTTAGTTTGTGCTGGGAGTTGGGATAGGAAGATTGTAGCTTTTCAAGATTCCAAGGGTGGTAAAAATTGTTTTCATTTTTAAGGCATGAAGTAAACCTGATTAGCTGTCAATGACTGATACGAAAAGGAACAAAGATGCAGTCCTTAACCAACAACTTCTACCAGACATTTAGCTCGCTCTACTGCAAAGAGTTGAGACTTCTTATCAAGTGAAAGTAGCACTTGGTAAGCAAAACTGCAAGGCGAGTAACAGCAGATGAAGCTTGGCAAAGCTCTGACACAGGAAACACTCTCAGGACCTCCAACAAGTGAACAACTAGAAAGGAGATTTAAAAAAAAATGCTTGCAACAATCCCATCTGAGCCCTGCAAAGACATCCAGGGCGCTACATGTTTATTACATAATAGCGTTTTGCCCTTGTATATCACCTTTAATCAAGGGATCTCAAAGCACCACACAGTCATCAGGGCCTTAAATACAGCCTGAAAGAGAGAAACGGTTCCGTTTTATAATCGCAGCTATGATTTCATTAGCGCAGCAAAGCGGTGCCACTCCTTCCAGATTCTCTGATCTGAGCAGTGCCTTCCCAGCCCTCCGACTCCCAAGCAGGATTCCCCGCAGAGTCTCGGTTTGCGGCTGATGCGACCGCATTCTAGCTTTACTTCCTCGCCAGGCCCCACGAAAAGTAGTGGCACTGTGTTAACGCCAGGAATCCGTTTCAGGACAACTTCTGCGACAGAATGGTCGTGGGGGTGAAGCCACGGTGCACGCTGATGTAAAATGGAGGCTCTACATGGAGCAGATCTGTGCATGGGGTACTCCACAAACAGCCCCAGCGTCTCCCAGCTGGCTCCAGGCGGCTCGCGGCGCAGGGGGGAGGAAAGCAGCCCGGCCACCCCGGACCAGGCATGGCTGTCCTGTGCGCGCACGGCGAGGGAAGGGACAGCCAGAAGGACGAGGCGCGAAGACTCTCGGAAGGGGGAGCGGAAGGCTGCTAGGCGCCCCACTCCCCACCCCTCAGCCCCATCCTACTCCCCAGACAGAACACCGTGGGGTCCCTGGCGTTTAAATCCCATAGGAAGTGGAAAAGCAGACCGACGCAAAATGTCTTTAAACCAAGGTCAAAATGTGTCGTGTAGGGTCATTTAATTTTTTAAATTTATTTCGTATCTCTAAGTAAGGTTTGCTCCTACAGAAATGTTTGGACGTTTTCGAAATTTAATCATCAACCTAACCTAAGTTCAATGCGTTTTTTCACCGGAGTACACTCACACGCCTATGTGAACTCAGTGTAACTGGGCAGAGTTAGGTTGGCTTCCATCGCAAACAGGATTACTGTCATCCCGGCCACTGCATTCTGTGTGACCTCACGGCTACAGAGTGGCATTTCACCCTCAGGCTGGCCCACCGTGCCCCCACTGAAAGCCTGCGGAGACACTGTCAGCCCCCAACCAGAGCCTTAACCTTTCTCAACAAGAAGATAAGCGTCCATAAACAAGACCACTTTCTGTTTCAAGTTCCCAACCAGCGATCAAGACGCCACAGCGCGTCTCACCAGCCTGAAAAGTCGAATAACTGGGACTAAAAGCCGGGGTATCGTCACTGAAACAGCAAATGGGAAGTTCTGTTTAGATTTCTGAAAACTCCAAAACATTTTAATACTCCGCAGGCCAGACTCGCTCACGCAGCTATCTCCCAAAGCACACAGCACTTAACACAAATTAAATAGTCTCTTTCCTTAAAGTGCGTCCCTGATTTCGAAAAATACCAAGTGTGCACCCTACTGCAAGGCTACTCCCTCCCAGGTCACAGGGGCAGGATCCCCGTTTCCCTCTCTCCCTACGTGGCTCGCAGGGCCACCCCACTGTCAGTGATGTTTCCCAGAGAAGTGTTTCCTAGGATTCCAGCGAACAGGGATTTTCTCTGCTTCTCCACTGTGCACGACGGTGTGAAAACACACCCTACACCAAATGCGAAAACCCGGATTCGAAGCTATACTTTCGAAACGAGTAAAGTCAGAAGCACCCACTTCTCCCTCCCAGCACGGTGGCCTCCGAACGGCCCCCCGCCAACCTGCACCCCCGTGGGCATCGCTTCTGAGAAGACGGGATTGCAAACCACAATTCCAGCAAATCCGGCCAGCGCTTCTCTTCCACTTACCATATCCGCCGGGACATTACTGGACATCTTGCCGTTTGATGGATACCCCCAGAGGTTGACTGAAAAAAAAAAATAGACGACAACAACAAAAAACAGCAGAGATCTTCTGACTCCAGAAAGAAAGCCCCACGATTTTGAGGGGTTCGTGATCTGCTTTCCCAAAGCGAAGTTATTTTGGAACCCAAGCGCCGCCTGGCCGTGGTCCTGGCGACCAACAGGGCCGGTCCCCACGAGCTGGGTC